TTGTTTAGGGAATTAAAAAAACTCTATGCATGTTCTGTATGGAAACAATGTTTTCTGAATATTGTAAATTCATGGTTGTTGAATCTGTGAGAGCAGAACCCTTATGTACAGAGACTGAGTGTTCTTATTTGACAGGACAATGGTTCAAACCCTGAAGAATTAAAAAATGTAAACCTTTCCATTTGTCCCACATCTACTTCTTCTATAGTAGTTTCCAAGATCACCAAAGCAATCTTTAAGAATTGCTAAGAAATCAAATAATGAAAATGCACCATTAAAAAAAAAAACTTTATGGCATTGTACTAGGAAAACTAATTGTTTTAGGGTGCACACCTGTAATCCCAGCTCTCAGGAGGATTTCTAGTTTAGGAGCTACGTAGAGGAACCCTGTCTCCAAAAAGACTCTTGTGTTTAAACCTCAACTCTAACACTTTTAATTTTGATTACCTCCTGCAAGTAAACATAGAACCTCAGAATAATCTTACAGTTTACATATCTTCCCAAACAATTCCTGAAGTAGATTTGTAAGTCTCCATATTGTCACTTTGGGGTGATTAGATTTCCTTTTTGGAGTACTGAGCTGGAGGACAGACATGTGAAGAACAGTGAAAGATCTAGTCAGGAATGTTCCACCATCTGTTTAACAGGGACAGTCACCAGCCACCATCCCTGTCATAGAGAAAGCAAAATACTGCAGAGTGGACTGCTGAGGGTCTTGTTCCTTGCTTGTGTTTCAACATTGCACATCATTACTAAGCATAACACAGAGTCAGTGCAAACATTGATTAAGCTGCCTCAGCCTTGTAATCTTTAAATTGAATCCCTCAGACTTAAAATGTTTACTATAAAAGATGCTACTTCTTTTCCTTCCTTGCATTTCCAAAAAAGTGTTTCAATCATATTTCCAATAAAATTTTGCAAAGTAATATAAGTACTTTTTCCCCTAAAATGAAACACCATCTATGTACTTGAACATGAGGCTTCCCTTCTAGTGATCTTCAAAAGTTTATTCCTTTAGTTAATGCTTCTAAGATTCAAAGCATTTTAATAACTTCATCACAAGAAATGCCTACTATCTAGAAGACACTTTTGTGAATGATGCCAAATCAGTTTTGGAGAAAAGGTATGGCTTCTGGAAAGTCATTAGCACTCAGTTTGCTAGGCAGGAGATGAAGGTAAGGATTATCATTTTGGTTACAGATGAGTCATGTCAGATACCATAAAACACATTCCCATGTGTGTCTTTGAAAGAGGAATTGCGTAGTGGTTTTTGGGTTGAACAAATTCCAGACAAAAAAAATTACCTCAATTTTACCTTGACCTACCTACAACAACAAAAAAATGCAATTATGTAGCAGCGAGGACTATTTTTTATAATTTATGTGATCACCACATTATTAGAATGGTAAAATAGAAAAACAGATAATCCCATCAGTGTTGAGTCAACGTATAGCCCTATTTAATACTTTTAAACATTGAAAACACAAAATCCTAAAGCAAATTTGTTGAAATTCACACCTAAGCTTTTTAAAGTATGTATTTTCCATTTCAAGCTAGCATAAAGAAGTACTCAAACTTGAATCTCCGATAGGAGCTGAGAGATTTGCTTATTAAAAGCATTTTTAAATTCCTGTTTGTTACACCCTGCTGTATTTTAATATAACTGGAAAGTGGAAAAATGTACACAAGTGTCCAATTTGCACAGTGAATGATTAAAGGAAAGCTAAAGAGTACTTAACCAAATATATATATATTCATATATACATACGTATACATATTGGTGGCACTGGGGTTTGAACTCAAGGCCTCATGATTGCTGGGTAGGCAATCTTACCTCTTGAACAACTCTACCAGTCCTACTTAACCAATTTTAAAATGTTCAAATTGACTAGGACTACATTAAACCATGTCCCCACCCACCCACCCAACTGCAATTCAAGGATCTTAAATGAGTTCAAGCACCTTACCCTAAATCCTTAGCCACAATGTTCAGTCAAATTTATATTTGGGAGAAAACTGTTTCTTGATCATCGTGTGGTACCAGTAAGTTTGGAACTGTGAGCAAATAACTCACCTTCAATGAATATACTTTTATATCCTAACTATATCAAATATGTATCTTCTAAATCTTTCAAGTGGGTAACAGTAACCCTTACCTGTAACACTGAAATTTTTTTTTTCTCTAATACTCGCCCTTAAAAATAAAATTTGTAAAAAATCCTATTTTAGCAGGCTTGATTATATCAACTGGTAAAACTTTATTTTACAGCAATAGGAATTGGATCAAATGATTATTATAATCCAGAGGAAGTATTTTATAACCATAGCAAATGCCATTATACATACTGCCAATACAGATTTAATAAGACAATACTGAACTGTACAAGAGTTATTTATTTTTCCTTAATCTCAAAGCTATTTTTAGTAGTACAAAAAGCCATATTAACATTTTTTCCATTAGAAAACAACATGATGTACAAAACTTTGGATGAAAAGATATGTCAAATTTCATTTAATCACTTGGAGGAAAATCCACCACTCCATCAATACCACCCAAAGTGTTTTAGGCAGTGATTAAAATCAAAATAATTCATCTTAATAAGTCCCAGCTGTTAAAAAAAGAGCAACCCTAGCAATATATAAGTTTTCTACACAGTATTTTTGACTACTCACTTTGGGAGTTATTTTTAAATCCATTTCTTTTACTGAGTCTTACTACATACCAGGCAACGCACTTGGCCAACTAGGTATTTGCAACAAAATTGATTAAGTTGGGCAAGACCCATAAACCAGTCCTTTGGTTACCAGATTTGCTTTCAAACACCAAGAAACCAAAGAGTAAGAAACACCCTTCCAAATGTTACTTGATTTTGTAGTGGGGAGGGTGTCTGGAGGTCATGAACCATTATTTTTGATCCATTATTCCAACTAAAAGAATTCCTCAAAAAGCTAATTTGTAATCTAATGAGTTTAAGATGTGGCATTCAGGTGTTAAAAATGTGGTTCATTGATTTATCATGAACCCCACATTGTATACTGCTCAAAAATGGTAAAACAGGTGTGCATAAACAACTTTACATTTAATCAAGCAAGGGTATTTGACACAGAAGTCAACCAGTTTAGGGTGTAGCGAAGAAAAAAAAAATCCAGTTATGGAATGGAAAAGAGCAGGAGGTAAACTAGTAAGGATTATTAACATAAGTATTATTTTCTAAGTTTTTTCTTTAACAAGATGCTAATGCACTTTCATTTAGAAAAAACAAAGGTTGTAACTATGCTAATGGCCCATAAACTGACACTGTCCTTTCAACACCATTACTTCATTATATAAAGTTTTCTTAAGCTATAACACATAATCTAAGCAATTATTTGGAAGTCAGCCAAGTGCTAAGCATTACAATGGCAGGTAATACACCATCAATTTTTGAAACACATTTGGCCACTTTTTCATGACCCATCTGTAGTTTGGATTCACCAGACTTTCATTCATTATAAAATTTAAGTTTCTGGAACAACATGACAAGAAAATGATTTTATGAAATAGTCTCGTAAGACATTTAAATAGTCTTAGGGTCACATCACTTTTGTCCTAAATGACTTAATCTGACATGCTACATAACTACAGTAAAAATAATTATGTTCAGTTTTTTAAGTGAAAGCTAAAAGCAGATAAATGATAACAGACTTGACATGGTATAAGATCTTTTTCTATATATGTAATCTGACACTGATTATGAGTTTCAAAGCTTGAAAAGTTCAGATTAAAAACCACAATCAAATAGTAATTACTCTTGATGGCATGCAAGATCTTCCTAAAAATTAACCTAAGACCAAGAAGTCTCAGTATTATCAGAACATAAAGAAACACAACAAATTTGTACATTTTATTCACATTTATTTTTCGCTTTTAGTGTGCTCACAGAAAATTAGAACACCTTAAGCAGGAGTTTAATAGCAATTTTTGTAAGCAAAGTTACATTCCATCTCTAAGTCAAATTGGTCAAAGCTTCTCCAGTATTTACAAAACATGATAGACAAGATGCTACACAAAACCATTGCATCTGAAGATTTTTTTTTCCTTTATTCTCAAAGACAACTGGAAAAGAAAGCATTGTCTGCTGTAATCAAAAACATACCACAGTATAAACAGTAACCATTCCACTTATCACAGCTTGGTTGAGTTTAAAATTTGTGTTTAAAAGGTCCAAGATGACTGCAGTTTTACAAAAATGGGCAGGGTGGAAAGTTGCAAACTTCATGTGCTTCTGGATATCAAGATTTGTTTTTATACAATAGTCACAGTTAAAAACACCCTGCTGGTAATACATAATTACACTTTATTAAGGTCATAAACCAGCAATAAACAATAAAGCCTATACAACTGTAGTTCTACTTAATCACTGACTGCTACAGCTAACAGGAGATAAGTGAAAAGTTCCTATGGTTTAAATGACCTCCTAAGACTATGATCTTTTTTTTTAATCTGGGTATTGGTTTTTTTTTTTTCCTTTCCTTCTTAGTCAAGACTTTAGTGTTGTAAACCTGCCTTGCAAAATACATCGTAATAACTTTTCTTTAAAAAAAAAAAAAGAAAAAAAGACTAAGCCTTTACACCATCATTTCTAGTGGCACACTATCTTGGCAAAGTCATGTACCACTCATTTCTCCATCGTGGCCCCTTTCTCTCACTCACTTCATTTGATATCCCTTTTCGACCCACCCATCTCCTTCATATATGGGCATGTCCATAGACTGACAAAGAAAAGTTTACATTTTTGAATAAAGATGCAAAGTATGCAAAAAACATTAATACTGATGCAAAAATTTTAAAAAAAGAGAGGAAAAAAAAGAAAGAAACAAGGCAGAGGAAGGTGTTTCAGCTCTCCTCGACCTGCTGGAATGGTGGTAAGAGAATGATCTGAGATGGGATCTGTGGGGAGGGAGGGTAAAAAAATCCAAAAAACAAAACTTGCTGCTAAAAAGAGAGAGAGAAAAAAAAAAAAAAAGAGGACGTCTTTAAAATCAATCCCTGGTTGTAGACAAGTTCTCCAAAACCAGTACCTGGCACCACTCCAACAAACAAACGGGGGAGAAAGTCCTCGGTTCGGCGGGACCTGGCCTCTACTCGGCGGCCTCGGCGGGGGGCGCCTCTGGACTGGACTCGGGCTGGGCGTCGGGCGAGGGCGCGGCGCACGACGACAGCGCGCAGGCCGCGGGCTCCTCGGCGGCCGGCGCCTCCTGCTCGGGGGCGCGGCGGAGGGCGCCTCGCTGGCCCCGGCCTCCTCGGCCTTCTTCTCCTCCGCCTGGGGGCCTCCTCGGCCGCCGGGGGCTCCTCGCCGCCCGCTGGCTTCTCGGGTGCGACAGCGGCCTCCTCGGGCTTGGCCTCCTGCGGGTCGGCGCCCGCCGCGGCCTCCTGGCCCGCCGCCGCCGCAGCCTCGTCGCCCGGCGCCGCCGCCGCCGCCTGCTCCCCGGGGGCCGCGCCCGCCTCGCCGGCGGCCTCGTCCTTGGCGCCCTCGGCTGAGCCGCCCGCGGCGCCCTCGGCCTCAGCGCCCTCGCCCGCCTCCTTCTTGCTCTTCTTGAAGGAGAAGCCGCTCAGCTTGAAGGACTTCTTGAAGGAAAAGCGCTTCTTTTTTTTTTTCGGGGTCTCGTTGCTGGCGAGGGCGTGGCGCCGTCCTCGGCCTTGGGCGAAGACGTGGAGGAGGCGGCGGACGCGGCCTCGCCCTCGGCGGCCGTGGGCGAGCCGGGCTCGGCGGCCTCGCCCTCCGCGGGGGCCTCCTTGTCGGCCGCGCCGGGCCCGGGCTCGGGGGCCGCGGCTGCCGCCTCGTCCTTGTCGGCCGCGCCGGGCGACGCCGCCCCACTGCCGGCGGCCGCGGGCTCCTCCTTGTCGGCGGCCGGGGCGCTGCCGTTGGCCTGCAGCTCCTCCTTGGCGCCCGGCTCGGCGGCCGCGGGCGAAGCGTCCCCGTTTACTTTCACGTGGCCATTCTCCTGCGGGGCAGAAAGAGCGGGAGCGTCACTGAAGCGGCCAGGGCACCGCCATTCCGCCCCCAACCCCGGGGGTCGGGAGGGACCCGCATCCCCGTAGGGGGAGCTCCACTCCCGCAGTCTTGGGGAGGCGGCGTGGAGGCCCAGGCCAGAGCTCCACGAACCGAGAAAAAGGGCTGCGCCGTTTGGGGAACCCGAAGGGTCCCGACTTTCGACGAAAGTGGCCCTAAGGCCAGAGGCCGAAGTGGGGAAGGCGAAGGAGCCATTGCAGCCGTCGCCTCGAGGGCTTGGGAAAAGAAGGAGCAGATGAGCACTCGAGGCAGCGAGCGCCCCGGGAAAGAAGGCACGGGGGGGTCACCCCCCCACCCCGGTCCCCTCAACCCAAAAGGCTGCTTCAAAACAGAGAGCGTCCCCAAGGGATCACAGCACTGCAGCCAGCAGAGCGCGCGCGATGCGCCACGGCCTTGCTGCCCGCAGGGGGCGCTGCGCCTCCACCGCGCCGAGGGCGGGGCGGGGCGAGGAGGGCAGGGGCGGGGCCGCCGGGCCACCCCGCCCTGCCCAGCCGGGCCCTGCCCGCAGGCCGAGGCGCCCCCGAGCCCGGAACGCGTAGCGAAGAGTCCGCAAACAAAGCTCAGGTGGCTTCCCAGTCTACCAGTCCTGCTAAACCTCCAAGGCTGCGGGACACCCCCCGTTTTTGAGGTCTCGCCTCTCATTCCACGCCCACCTTCGTCCGTAATTCTGCCAAGCCAAGGCGCGCCCGGGCAGCGCATTTTGTATTTTTAACGGGTTTTAAAGCCTCTTGACGGAGCCCGTCCTTCCCTGGTAGGTTAGAGTAGGCGAAGCAATAAGGCTCTAGTTCTAGGAGGAGAGGCGTGGTGGGTGCCCCGTGTTTGGGAAGCAGCCACCCATGGCCGACCTCTCGCGCCCACCCAACCGTGGCTGTAGCCTGGGTCCCGGCTTCGCGGGGGCGGCTCCTCGCGGGTGGCCCAGGCACCACGCACACGAGCAATCCCGGCCGAAACGCAAAAATTACCTCCTCTAGACCAGCTGGAGAGCTGCTTAAACGACCCATCGAGTGTTCCCACCACCCCAGGGACACCATTTAAAAGTCAAATGGGTGTGTGATTCCACAGACAGCTACAAAGAAAGATCGAGGGCAGTGGGAGAGCCCCGAAAGGCACCGAAAGCCTTCGGTCAAGCTGCAACCAGCCACCTTTCCAAGAAGCCGCCTAGACATACAATAAGACAAGCCTTCCCTCCTCGCCTTTCTCCACCGCCATCCCATTCGCTCTCTTCCCTACACACACACGCACAACCACACCAGTTCAGGAATCACGAAGGCGACCCGGTGTCGACAACAAATACGAGAGCCACCCAAACACACTGTAGCCCCAAATACAAATGCAACCTGGCGGCGGCGGCGGGGGGCACCTAGCTAGTCACGTTCTGCCAATCTCCAAACCACGCCATTTTAGACGATTATCACTCTTTTCCTCCCGTCTACGAAAGAATTGGCCAGGGTCCCCGGGAACCACTCCTTTGGGGTGGGGGTGGGGAAACCCTTCTTGTGAAAAATTGGCAATTTAGGCTATCCTTTCCCATTCAACTTTCAGACTAGAATCCAGCCATGGTCCTCGCCACCGAATGCGTCTCGGGCGCGATCAGAAGGAAGGGGAAGCGTCGAGACTCGAGAAAGACACCAAAGAAATGACGAAAACCACAGGTAGAATTTACCTGCCCATTCGCTTTGGAAGGCGATGAGGCCACGGCCGCCTCCCCGGGCCGCTCCGCGGCGGCTTCTCCCTTCGCTGCGGTCTTGGAGAACTGGGCACCCATGCTGGCTTCTTCAACAAAGAAACTCAACAGATCCAAGAGGGGAAACAAAGAGCCTTGGGTTGGTGTAACGACGGGGCGAGTAGCAGCGGCGGCGGCAGCAGCAACAGCAGCAGCGGCACACACACCAGAGGGAGGGGGTGGGGGTGGTCAGGAGGACCGAACAGAACCGATTAAATACACTCCGGATAAAAAAATTTTAGTCGAAGAGATCAAAAAGCAGCAGCGCAGGAGGGAGGGAAAAAGGTGGAAAAGTAGAGCGCAAAAAAAGGAGCCCAAGTGTAGTTTAAAAAAAAAGAAGTAATAAAAAAATCCCAGATTTGTAGCCGCACTGTAGACAAGAGGAAAATGGAGAAATCTCCCTGGTTGCTAATAAGATGCGGGGTCCAACGCCCAAGTGCACAGATGAATGGGCTCTCGGGCGCTGACGCGGCCCCCGCGCGCGCCGGCCAATCCGCGCGCCGCACACAAAGCAGGGGGCGGGGCCTGCGCGCCCGGTGAACAATGGAGCCGCGCTTTGCAAACGGTTTGAAAATCAGCCTCAGACCGGGAATTAATGTCCTCCAAATAAATAAATCAATTAAAAAATACATGCCTCTTGCCTCCTTCTGCCTGAAAATAATAATGTATCCCTTGATTGGCTTGCTTTGTTTGGAATTAACACGGGGGGGAGTACTTGTGGATGGGGGCGGAGAAAGCGTTAACTTGACTCGCATTGACTCTTGTCCGTCTATATCCGTGTCTGTCGCTACACTCGTTCCCCTCCCCCATCTTTCCCGTGTGTTTATGTGTATGTATGTGCGTGCTAGTGTTAAAGACAATGGGTAGCATTTGTGTGTTTGCAGCATATTTTCTTTCTCCGCGTTCCATATGGGTTTCACAGATAGTGCGCAGTTTTTTTTTTTTTAACTACTGCAATTGTTAAATCGTCCCACATTGAAAGGTATTTAAACCACGAAGATCGAATTTCATTAAACGAGATGGCTAGCTGGAATTAGGTCTGTAGGCCAGATGTGGAAAATGCAAAAGCAGCAAACAGCCGAAGCCACGCTCCCTTTTCCTCTCTCACATAGGCAAGAGATAAAATATTTTGAGATTGGCCTTCGGAGCTCATCAGATTTGGTGTCTCTGGCTACTTACAATTAGTGATTACTTTCCTCACAATACATAGCAAAGGCCATTTACGCAAGATCAAAACTGCTTGCATTTTATCACTGTACAAAATGACATGAATAATTTTCCTCTGTGGTGAGATGAAACACAGCCTGAAGTGTACGAACCCATATTTACAGTTGGGATGCTGCTATTTGCGTCAATATGGATCGTTTGCAGCCTTCTGCCAACATTCGGAGGGACTGTTTTTGAACGTGTGTGTGTGTGTGTGTGTGTGTGTGTGTGTGTGTGTGGTGTGTGTTTGCGCGCGCGCACAGCAGCGAGGGTGCTCCTGGAACGAAGGCAGGCACCAGTAATGAAATTCTAAACAACCGATTACTATTCTAAGAAGGAATTGCCAGCATGTTGACAGACAGCAAGAACATCCCTGGACGCTCCACGACTAACTTGGGTCAGAAGAAAAGCTTCTTTAGTGGTATACAGGCGTGATACCTCTCTGACCACTGAACGCCTTGCCACGAAGTACCAATCTTAGTGTGTGAAAGACAGGACTCGATTTGCGTTTCTGGTGGGGAGGGATCAAGGGTACAGCCTAGCAAGCACTCCTCTAGCACCCACATCTTCGCCTTTACATGTAGTGATCCTGCCGTGAGTGATCGCTCCCTTATGGAGGTGAGAAGCAGTCGAGGGAATGGTTCATTTCTCTTAGTTGCTGGCTCTGAATTCTCAGTTTTATTTTCTGCTCATTGTAGGGAAATAGGTCACACTCCGAGTGAAAAAGACAGTTGATTCAAGCCAATAATTCTTTGTTCAAGTGCTGCTGTGAAAATCACCAATCTGAACGTCAATACGTGTAGCTTCGTCTTCTCACTGTCCACTTCCTTCAGCTGCACTGTGCGATCGCGAAGTAATATTCCACAGGGCAGACGTCAGGACGTTTCTGTAGAAAAACATCTTGCCAACAAACGTGTTACCACCCGTAAGGGAGCCTGCTGGCCTGGCCCAAGACCCCAGCCACCTGGATGGTCACGAATCTTGTTTTAGTAGAGTTCCAACTTGAACAGCCACCTGGGCTGATCCAACACCACCATCCAGGAGATTCCCAAATGTTCATTTAAGGGATGATGATATTCCCCACCCCCAACGCGAATCATGCCCCTTCCTCTGCATTTCCCTCCTGTTTTAAATTGGGGTGATTGCTAGCTCGCTTTCAGATTTTTCTCTCAGACGCGTCCTTAGCCGCCTTTGGTGGCGGGGGGAGCCGCTTTTATTGCTCCTTTGTTACCAGGCTGCCGTGTAGCTTTCCCCCCTTTTCTTTCTCGAATGCCTATTTGCCTGGTATCGGCTCGTCTCCCGAGCAACGACCGCAGAAGATTCTGAGCCGGGGGCGCGGGGAGAGGGAAGGGGCGGAGCCCGGGCTGGGGCGGGGGAAGGGGCGGGGTAAGCTGGGGCTGGAGAGAAGTGGTGGAGGGGAAAAAGAGGCGGAGTGAGAGACAGGCCGACAGACTGCGAAGCAGATGGCTGCACGAGGGGGCGGGGTCCGGGAGGGCGGGGCGGGGTCCGGGAGGGCGGGGCGGGCTGGCCAGCCCGAGGTCAGGGGCGCAAGGGAGCCAATCAATTTCCTCTGCAGCTCCCGGGCCAGACTGCAAGTGTAAATACACAGACCCTTCCCGCCAGCGGTCCTGGGGGACAGTGGAGATGATTTTCCTGCGATAAGAAATTGCATTTCCAGCGTAGTTGGAAAGCCACGTTCCCCAGTAACTGGCAGGGGGAGGAGGTTTGGGGTGCTGCGGCTGAGCGCCGGGTCTCCTCTCTCCAGCCTCCCTCAGAGCGAGACCCTCCAAGTGACGTCTGCTAATGGGGAGGGAGGCGAAGGTGGGGGATGGGCGAGGAGGGGAGCGCTGGGAAATGGGAAACGGCCGCAAGGCGGGGAAGGAAGGTTGGAGAGACGGGAACCGGTCGGGGGGAGGTGTACAATACAGGAGCTCTGCAAGGTTGGTGTCTTCACTCACCGACATGAGGGTTCAAGTAAAGCGCCAAAGGCATTTATAGAAATGAGATTAAACAACCCCCAAAAATAGAGTGAAAATGGAAACTGGCGTCTTTAACCAACTCACCGGGAGTAAACAGGCATTCACTAGTCATGTACTTTTTTTTTTTTTTTTTGGAGGGGAGAGCTAGGTAAGGTCTTGCTATGTAACCTAAGCCGGTCGGTCTCCAGCTCACAATTCTCCTACCTCAGCCTCGCTAGTGTTTGGATTACAGTGGTGAGCCACCGCGCCCAACTTTGTACTCCCCCTTTACGCATCCCTAGCATGTTTCTAAAATGATAGTCTGTATTTGGTTTTCCCTAGAAGAATGATTTACGTAGGAGACCTCAAAGTCATTTTTCCGTAAAATGTTAGCACTTGAATTTTAAAATGTTGAGGGTTTGCAGTGTGAAGATCAATGCGATCTGGGACTTGTTTTCATATTGGTGAAAAGGCAGAGGTAGGTCCTGGTCTCCTGGAACTTCCAGGCCTATTTAAGGTGAGCTGAATCATCTGGCTTCCTATTCTCATTTCCCAGACGAAGAACTAGGCCCAAGGAGATTGTCAGATTCCTCAGATGGGTGAGCCAGGAATACAGCTCCCATGATCCCTGGCTTCTGCTACGGTGTGGCTGCCCAGCCTTCCCTTTGCGGCCACCTGAATGACTGCAGGTCATTCACTCCCATAGCATTTATTATGCTCCCATTACGTGTCAGGAAGAGGGCTTAGACCTTCCCTTACACCAGGGAAGAATATGGACCTGGTCTTTTCCTCTGCAGTTTCCATTTTGTAGTATTATTTCTTAAAACTTCTTAAAATGTAAAGAATGAGAGTGAAAGACAAGATTAACTGTGCTGAAAAGAAAACAATGCAAAAGGATAAGGGCCACTTCTAGATTCCAGATTAAAGATGCTGTTTTCATCTGAAAACAACATTCACTCATTGAATTCTCACTTGAATTCTATTCTTCATCTCACTGTAGATTGTACATTGTCTGACTTTTAATTCCACAGAAATTGATTAACCTAGACTAGTGGGGACCAAAACAGACACTGCCCCTCATTCATTAAACAAATATTTATTGAACTCATATCATGTGCTAGGCATTTGAGATATATCAATGAACAAAACAGACAAGAAATATTTATGGAACATATATTTTAGGATGAGGAAGAAAATACAAGTTGATAAGTATAAGTAAAAAGAAAAAAAGTGAGATGTTTGAGGCCTAAAACGTGTGATGAGAGGGTGAAAATTTGAATAAGGGAAAAACCTTATCGGTCAGGAAAGGCTTCACTGAGAAGAATCACTGAGCAGATTTGAAAAGGGGAAGAAATTGATAGAGAGGAGCCCACTGGATTGCTTCCAACCTAGCAAGAGGGAGAAGTCAGAATTAAGAAGATCACAAATAGAAATGCAATTTTAAGCAGTCATATGTGCTCTGAAGGAAAACATGGGGTGAAATAAGTCTGTATAACTTAATTAGAAGGGTTAAAGGAGGCTTTTCAAGGGTATGACATGGAAGTGGAAGCCTAAAGGACTAACAGGCATTATTAGGTAAAGAGGTGAAGAGCTGGGTCCAGAGGTGCAAGTAGCAAAGCTGAGGAAGGGAGAGTTGGGCAAGGGTTTGCCAGGAAGGAGAAGATACCAGTTTGGGCTTATTTTGAGGCATCTGTAAAACATTGCAATAGAAAAATAAAGTGCACAGATATATAAAAGTTTGAAGTTCAACATGGTTTAAAATATAAGTATACATTACTGATCATTCCACATATAAGTATTTTTAGAATCCAGGTCACAAGAACATGCAAAAGATAGTGAGGCCCAGAATCACTCTGAGTAACTTCTGCTTTAAGAGGTGGGCAGAAGAGTGGATGGTAAAGAAGACTCAAAGGCGCTCTTAAGGAGTAGACAGAAAACCAACAGTGTGGTATCAGGAAAATCGATGGAGACTGTTTTAAGGAGTAGTGGTTAGTTTTGTCAAACGCTGTTGAGTGGTCAAGTAGACTAAAGACTGAAAAGTTTCCGGTGGAGTTGCAGTACAGAAGTTGCTGGGCTCGGGCTCCAGAGCGGTTTTTGTAGTACGTTGAGAGAGGAAGTCAGCTTGGGATTTGGTGTGTTGAGGAGTAAATGGGGGATAGTCTCCTCTTTCATGAAGCTCAACAGAGTAAAGTGTTTAGAGGGACAGTGCTGGTACCATCTAGTGTTGTTTTGTTTTGTGGTGTTGTCTTAGATGGAAGA